AGCGCCAAAGCCCTTGGAAAGGAAGCAAAGAAACGTCAAATGCAGAACGTCAAAGTTTGCCTCAAATTATCAACTTTGATGGGATTCACATGGTTGTTTGGACTGCTCCAGGTTGCCGTGGAAACGGAAACTGGCGCTTTTGAGTATCTGTTTATTATTTTCGTCAGTTTCCAAGGTTTGTTTATCTGTGCAGCGTTTCTATTTCAAAGAAAGTGTTATGAACTCTACAACACCTTAATATTTAGTTCATCCAGAGGCACCAGTACAGGTGCAGAGACGCCGTCAAAAAGTCGTCGTGTAAAGGACACGAAACTCTAAGGTAATTCGTTGACACTATAAGTAGGGTTTATGGATAACTTTCAGTTCACTAACTTGATGTTCTTGGCTGCAAAAAACTTGGAGAATATATACATTGTCAAAACGCATGTATACATTTTGTGGTGCATATATAACATGTGGTTAGAGCGTTTGCACATGACGTCACAGCCGCCGTGTTGGTGTTCCAATTCAAAAGAATTTTAATTAGACTCTTTTGTCTGGAACACCACCCTGGGGAATGAGTGCAAACAGCAAACGCTCTATGTGAGGGGAAAGTGTTATAGATTTAAGGTCGGGATAAATAAATGAATTTGAAAATGTAATGAATGCAACGTTAATTGACCATTTGGGTCATCAACCAAACTGACATCCTGTTAGCATGTGGACCGGAAACTCGGAAAGCACGTCATTTTGGCTGGAGCCTGTGTAGCGTTTCTATTTCAAAGCATGTTTTATCAACTCTACAACACCTTACCTTTGCATAATCTACAGAGTTGCAGTTTGCAACTTTGTTAATATCTGCATGTGTTGGTGTAATGTACTGAGGTGAATACGATGTTTGTGATGTTACTCTGAGTGTATTTCCACACCGGGCAAGCTTGAAAAATATGCCTGGCCACGGTGGGAATCGAACCTACCACAAAAAAGTATTACTCGTCTGTGATTGGTTGATTTCAGTACAGTTAATCCCAAACAGCAGCGCAACAATCTGTAATCACGGTGCAATTTTCTGTAATCACAGTGCACGTTTCTGTAATCACTATAAACCAACCAAAATTGAGCTGAGTTTTGGCGGGAAAATTTAAAAAATATTCTTTTTTTGAAAACAAACATGGCCGCATTTAGGCGGTGCCGAAAGATTCCCACACTTGGTCAAGTTCAAATTTGATTGTCTCGAATACTTTTATGTAAATTATTAATAAGTATAATAGCATGGTTTCTCGTGAAATTTGGATAAACATGCACTCGTGAGTTTTTCAAAGCTCACTCGTGCATGTTATATCCAAATTGCACTCGAAACCATGCTATTTTTAAATTTTTTTTTTTTTTAATTTTTTTATTTTTTTTATTTTTTATTGTTGAAAACAATTTTAATTGTTGAAAAGTTAAACTTTACTAATAATAATGAGAAACAAGTAAGCGGCTGACAAAGCGCAATGGTAATTCAACCACGAACAATGCATGCCAGTATACAGGTAGATGCATGTATGTAAAAAAAATAAATAAATAAAAAAATAAATAAAGTGTTTTTAAAACACTTTTAGACGATGATTTCGTCATAGACATGCATACTGTAGTTTCATATGTTCGACCAACGCAAAGCGGGATTTTCTTCACGAAAATCCCCATTTAAATGTGTAGGCCTATACATCGCAGACGTAAGCATTTCAATTCACATTATCTATAATACCATTTGATGATTAATACATTCACATTTCAGAATTGAGGATTATTCAGAATTATATTCTACTAAATGATTTATGAAAATCCAGGATAATGGTGCTGGACAAATTTTAATTTACCGTCTTGCATTCAGGTAGTTCGTGTGCATTAGGCCGTTGTCGTATAGCCGTCATACTTTCTTAAGTTTATAGCCTCCAACTTTTCAATCATCTGTATACGAAGCCGTTTTAGGATAGAAATCATATTGAAGATTCCAATTCATAAGATTATTTACACCAGGCTGTCACATGTATAGTGTTTGAAATATACATTGGTTCATTTACACGAAGTTTATTAAGACCCATGGTGTTTACTCGTACATGACTACATCTAGAGGTAGTTCTTTATCAAGTTCATCTCTTAACGCTTTCAAACAATCTGTGGTATAACTTGTCCCACCAATATCAGGAGTTAAATGCTAGAAAACGAAACAAAATGGCCAAATCCGTAAACTGTAAATAAATTAAAAATTACTTACAAGACTATATGCTCATTGCATGTATTTAATATTAGGTAGTTCCGTCCAAATAATTCTCGATACTGGAGTAATGGATGCAATCAGATAAAAAGAACTAGGTTTTTAACCACTGTAATTGGGTTCCAGTTCACTCTAATGCACCCACTTTGGTTTAAATGCATGTTTTCATATGTACGAGTGAGGTCGGTAAATAATACTAAACACAAAACATATTTTTGCATGATAAGTGAGACTTGTATATATTTTTGAGCCAAACGTCTTGTTTGTCCTTGTGTTCAGCACAAAATAAAGAAGGTATGAAAAAGTGAAGGTATATAAAAGTTTACCTGACCAGCAGAAATTACTCTGAAAATGGCGTTGTTGATGACAGAAGCATGAGCTTTAAACCTACAATAAAAAATATTAATATACAGTTAAAATCCTCGAATAATTTATTAAAGTTTTCGCGACTTTTCCCGTCTGAAACTAACTCATTTAATAACCCTGTTAGAGCTAATATATCATTCGCTTGGAAGTTCTTCTTGGTCTACGATATTGGTAATTAAATTTAAACGAATGCACAAAATCATACCCAACATGCTGCAACATAAGCGTACTAGCAAACAAAAATCCAAATGGGTTAGAAATATTCTTCCCAACTAAATCTGCACCTGTGTTTCGTGTTCCCTGAAAAACAAAAACATTTTTAATTTTAATTTTCGAGCCTACGCTCAAAATGTAAAAATAACCGTTGAGTTTTTTAGTTCAAGCCTATTTAACTCAGAAAAATCTTACGGAACACTACCACAAGTACAATTGATATATTATATAATGTAGCAAAATGTGGGTTAACTAGGGTAAAAGTAAAGTCAGTAAGCTGTTCACAACACATGGGGCCGGTTTGCTGCATAGTAATAATTCTAATAGCGTTATCTACCAAATATAGTTATATTTTCAAGCTTTCTAAAATTGGTCGTCGATTGGTAAAACCCATATTTAAGTTTTGTATTTAAAAATTAATATGTTTTCATATTCATTGTCTCACAGCTTTTCAGGTCTCATTTTTCAAAGGTTGAAAATTAAGATCACTATCCAGTGGATAGCGCTATCCGGGCTTCGTTCAACCGGGGTCCCAGGTCTTTAAGGTCAATGCCTCAATGTAAAAAGAGTAAACCTAAATCTTTTGTATCAGTGGCGAAGCCAGCCCGACAATTTCGTCATGCTATGCAAATTTTAAATCATTATTCATTTCTTTCGAAATTAGAAGTATTTGCATAGCATGACCAAATTGTCGGGCTGGCTTCGTCACTGTTTTGCATATATAATCTTCTTATAACTATATAATAATCGGAGTACAATCCGTCTAATGACGCTGTGATGATGATGTGCATGTGTTGTTCTGTATGTAGATCACAGATACACGCTACTGGCATGCAAACCTCTTTCCGTCGCGCTTCAAAGCCCCAAAATATTTCTGTACGAGAGTAGTTTAGCTAAATGTACATCTTTTTGTTATACATTGCATTACATGCATGATATTTCAGATATTTATACAATAAGTCACATTCTCTATAATTATGGGTGAGGTAATTCGGATACTCGCATATATCAAACAAACTGAAATATCTCAAGCAAGGGTCATGCAAGAAACGAACATTTTTCTTTAACATTTTAAAAGGTCTTTAACATAGGACAAAAAATATAAGAAAAAAATACTCCGAATAATATTGCCATCTTGTAAAGTCAAGATACGAGTTATTTAAAGAAAACAAGACACAAATTATTATTATACGACAATAAAGATTCTTGACATCAGTGGTACTTTAATACAACAAAGATATAATAATTCCACTGATATACTGTAATGTCGAGATGTCTTGGTACAATTAAGGGTGCATGGTATACATATAGGCATTAAATTAAAAATGAGAAAGGAACAAGTTAAAAAACAACACGTACTGATTCAAATAAAGCGTAGTTATCACCAACATTCTCTCCTGGCACCAAGCCAGGCCCACCAACCAAAGATGTCGCTATATTACTGACAATATTTCCGTATAAATTAGGCATCACCATCACATCAAACTGTTCTGGATTTGCAACAAGCTGGATAATTAAAACAATAAGGCAGGTTGTCAATAATCATTTTGCATAGACAATCTTGCACCAATTTTTTATAACTGCTTGCGTGGTAAAAAATCAATATGATCACGTAAGATCTTTCTTCGATCTTTCTTAGCTTAACTGTGATATCACACAATCTTTTTAATTCAGGTTATATAGTAACCAAGGTAAATGTCATAGCTCGTAGTGAATGATGCACACAAGCCATTGTCTATATATATAGAGTGACAAGTAGGCTCATATAGGTCATTATCTTGAACGGACTGTGCTAGTGTGCCAATACACCCTTTCGATAATTACGTCATTTGGCCTGGGAGCCTCGCTCTCATGAATCGTGAGCCAATCACCTTGCGTGATTTACTAATGAGAGCGAGGCTCCAAGACCAAAAAGTATGTGTGACGTAATTATCGAAAGAGTGTATAATAAGAAAACTCTGGATTGAAAGGAAGGAACTACCTGAAAAATAAAAAGGAGAACTTCGACGTTTCGAGCGAAGGCCCTCCGTCGGGTGTATCAACAAAGGTAATCCAAATTTTTTTTATATAATAACGATCAGGTTTTAGCTTTTGAATGGCACCTTGTTTTGTATTATTCCAAGAAAAAATGAGCAAATACTAGCTGATGTGTCTTTCCAAACAATAGCTTGAAACAAAACTGAGTGACCACATTCGTCAACAATTTCTTAATTTTATCCATATGTTCGGGGTTTTTAAATCAAAATTCATGAATTTTTTATCCAAATGAGATTTATTTTCAATAATTGGAAAAATGCGATTTCGACCGGCAATTTATTCGACTCGTATTTGGTCATTTTCCTTTATACCATTTCAAAAAAAGTATCATTGGACAGCTAATAAAAGCCTGGATTTTGTTGCTGTGTAAAAATGTTATCGCTAAACTCAATATCTAACACACACGAACATGCTAAAGTTGAATTATACCTTGGTATTATACTATTATGGTGAAGAGAAGTCATTTTGAATTTCTTTACCATACATAAGCACTTCAAGGGACTCATTCTACAACTATTAAATTACTAGCTAATTATGCATGCAACAGGCGTCACCTGCATGCAACAGTTGTCGATGATCATAGAGTTGTATTCAATATCAGGATAATCACGTGATACTTCATCACAACACCGTAGGAAAAGACCATCGCCAAGTTTCCTATATAAGATTAAATAACAAAATATACCGTTGTAGTGCTAGTACTTATATTGTTCACTGCATGGGTTGTAAAAATTATGGCGAAATTATACATTCAATATCTTACATTATGTTAGCTTTATGAATAGAGGTGACCTTTTTTCTTCCATTATTTCTAGCATACTCGAACGCAAACTTTGCAATTTTGGAGCATTTTTCTTCAGTCATTATCTTAAGACTCTCAACAACACCAGGAACGTTCTAGAATAGTAATAAAAAACACGTGAAGGTATCGGAAATGAAACGTGCAAATTTTCCATTTCGAAGATGTCCACAATCTTGAAAAGAGATGCCTACATCATGATATTTAGTAGATATATAGTACCTGACAGGCTGACACTGGCATCACCTTAATATATATATACAAGAACTTGTGGTTGATGAACTCTGTAGTTTAGTAGCTCGCAGGGACGCATGTTCGATTCCTGCTGGACGGCCTATAAAGTTGCATTTTTCACAACTGCTCCAAGTTAGGTCTAAAATTGTATGTATTCGTTCGAAACCATTCACATGCAAAACGAAAAAAATATAAATTAAATGATGAAAAGCATGCAGGAATCAAGTCAGACTGGGTTGCAAGCTAAACGTTCAACACGTAATTGTCACTCATGGGTATGCCACGTGATGTGTGCGTGAAACACGTGGAATTGGAAACATGACCGAATATTGCACAATTCCTTCTTTTTCTCGCCCTCATGCATGCATGCACCTTTAATACTGGCAAAATCCGTAATCCAGCAAATAAAAAAGCATATCCTTATTTGGTGCATGGCATTATTATTGTCTTGATACTATACGATGGCCAGACATAACATTACAATTATCAGGGATGAGGGCAAAGGGGGTTTTGGAAGCCTTATTCTGATTATTTTGGCAGTGGTATTGGCTAAACTAAAGCTATACTAAAATTTATATAGTTGCAACAAAAGTATGAAATAGGTCAGATTTTTATTTCAACTATTAATACGATTACTTAATAACATTCTGTGTTACCTCGTGTTCCAAATGACTGTATTCTCCTTCTGTATTCTCTCTGATCATCACGAGATCAACATTCTGATGTCTGAAAGTAAAATGCAGTTTCAGCAAAACCTGGTTAAGTCTATCTCAGATCCTGTTTTAAAGTTGAAAATGTTCTCGAGTGAGTATTTCATAATTTCCAGACCCGCGCGCTAGCAGAAAGATTACCGAGTGAACAATAACAACAAAACATTTTATTGGGCACAGTTTATTAATAAAGATTGTCCTACCTCGTTTTGATGTTTTCAAACGACTTGCATTTAACAACATTGGCGTAAAGATCAAGTTTTACTCTGTAAAATGAAGCAATTAATAGACAATTCTCATTATAGACTAATTTTAAAATTAGGCAAGGAAACTCAAATAAATTACCACAGCTAGAAAGAGCATACTACAATTAGTAAAATTACAAAGTTTGGTTGCGAAATGTTGTAAAATGAGGAAAATATAGCCTTGCAAAGTTCGCAAATTTTGTATACTTTTGTATTGCTTGCGGAAATTCCTACCACATTCCTACCACATTTAGGCCGAAAATGGTCGCACGCAATACAAAAGTATACAAAATTTGCAAACTTTGCAAGGCTATATATTTTCCACATTTTACAACATTTCGCTACCAAATTTTGTATTTTACTAATTTTAGTATGCTCTTTCTAGCTGTGGTGATTTATTTGCATCTCCTTGCCGCCTAGTTTTAAAATTAGTCTATAATGGGAATTGTCTATTACATATATTTTGTATGCGAAATGCTACAGTAAATATGCGTTCATCTTAACCTAAAATTACCGACCTATATACATTGCATGTTCATGCATGTAGTTCTAATACCTAAGGATCTAATAGTCTCCATATACCATACCACACCATACCACACTAAACCATACCATACCATACCATCCCATCTGACCATACCATACCATACCATACCATATACCATACCATTCGGCTAGTCCAGTCCAGTCTATTTAATTTATTCTATTCCATTCTATTCTATTCCATCGACCATTCTATTCCATGCCATTAACCATTCAGACAGATCTATTCTGCTAGATTATATAATTTTCCAACCTGACAATACCTGTGCGTGAGCATACTTGTCGCATTTTGTTTCTATAGAACTATAGATTTTGTTCGTCGAAGCTTTTTCTGAATGGCATGCAGGGCTCGTTTTCACTTTACATTGAATAAATATACAGGATGCAAAGAGTGCATGCATCATAACTGTTCAACTGTATAAAAATACGAATTATTCACCTGAGTTGAACATTAAGCGACTTAAAACTTGGAGTTTCAATTGGAGTGTGTAGGTTTCCTGAAAAAAGCAACATCCATGCAGTGTATATAGCCTTATTACAACTAAACAAGACGCTCTATGGAGCGTTAACTCGCTGGGGCTATACAACTGACGCACATTTAATACTGTTAAGATCTAAAGGCTGATTTCCACTGTTGCGTTTTTCGTACGCACGTACACGCACGTAAAACTTTGAATCCTTCTATTTTTAAATATTTTACAAATAAGTTAAGCCTGGTTCACATATACAGTATGCCTGCGACGTACCGGCGACGATACCGGTGCTAGCTTTAAAACGTAAATTATGTGAACATTTGTTCCATCGGCGGTAGGCCGGGAAAGTTGACTTGAGTTCAACTTTGCCGGTATTTCGGCGGCAAGTAGAGGCATAATGATACAGTCGCAGGCATACCGCAGGCATATGAGAACCAGGCTTTAACAATTCATACTAAAACTTGCGGAGCAGTAAATTCTGTTGCTTTATTTATTTGGTTATTTTATAAGTAACATTTAAACAGATTTAAAGTTTTACGTGCGTATATTAAAGTGGAAGTCAAGTTCGTAATGTAAACAAACGGTTTGTTTACATTTTGAACTGCTGTATTTTTTAAAATATGATGTACTGTCTGAATATCTAACAATACAATTTCGCTTGATTTTCAAAGGCTATGGTGTTTAGTAATACTGGTGTTTAGTAATACATTTGACATCTGTAAGTACAATTTCTTACGCTGAATCGAATGGTGGTATTTTTATCCTTATTGCGCCATTAATAGGCATTACAAACACAATATCATATTTCGCACTGAGTACACTACAGTTTTCACGGACTGTTGTTCGATAAATTTTCTATTGATATGACACCAATATGCTTCTCATAAAGTCGTTATTAACTAAAACTACGTTGTGCAGTTTACGTTATAATCTTTTACCTTGAAATTGTCTTTGGCTCGTTTATATTCAGATTAAGTATACATGGCCGCCCAGAGGGGGGGGGGGGGAGGTTGTTATCCGGAAAAAAAATTTTTCCGGAAAAATTTTTTTACATAGGGGCCCCTAAAAAAAATTTGCCCCGGGCCCCCGCCAACCTCTGGGCGGCCCTGTAAGTATATTATGATCGTGCACGGGAATTCAACGATCCAAATTTCGGATTTTCAGAGTCGTGCACCAAGAAAAACGCATTAAATAAACTAGCAAGAATGTCCAGAGTTAGATACAATGCAAAATCCATAGAAAACAGGTACAATTTGTTCAAAATTTTCACGAAATGGGGCCCGAAATTGTTTGAAACATTTTGCCCACTCCACGAAAGGCCCCGCCATTTTGAAAAGGATCAAGCAGCTCATTAATATTCTATTTTGTGGCTATCGACGATTGGAGATCCACTATCCGTGATCCGTGACAAATGCATGCCGAAACCTATACTCGTCTGGGGCACAGGTGCCCCAGCGAGTAATAATCGATCAGTGCATGAGTGAGAAACTTGACTTTTGCTGCTGCAGCATAGGTATGTATAAAATAAGAAAAACAAAACCTAGTATAGGCAACTTGGCTAACGCTGATTTGCAGATTACATTTGTCAGTAAATCAGTGAAATAACAACCTGCATGGCAAAGGCCAGCGGGGCGCCAGGCGTATACAGACTTGTGAACACGGCTATACAATCATTGATGTATTTCTATAGGTAATAGTATGATTTCGAGTGTAATTTGGAAAACGAGTGAGTTTTTCAAAGACGATCAAAATTGCAAGTCTTTGAAAAACTCACGAGTGTTTGTTTTTCCAAATTGAACGAGAAACCACTACTATTACTTAATAGTATACATAAAAAATATGCAGAATGCATGCATAAAGCTACTTAAATTTTACTCAATTATTTCAGAATGAAACAACAAGATTTTACAAGAATTCAAAACTTAAATCAAAGTGTCTTTTGTTTTGGCGCTTGCCACACTGTATGTATATTAGGATAAAATTGCACTGCTCGGCCAATCAGAAGTGAGTGATTTTCTTGTATAGTATTATATATATTTCTTTATCATGCACTTTGTCTTACCTTTGAGTGCAACACCATTTCTTTGAATTGATATCAAAACATCCTCCATTCTATCTGTTAATTGTTGTCGATCACTGAAACCACTAAAGGCGAAAAAACAAAAATGCATCTTGTAATTAACGTATTTTATCCATTGTTCTTACATCAATTTTATACTTATAACATGCAGCCAGTACCTCACAAACAATGTTAACCGCAAGAAAGCTAAATATAAGAACCTAATTAGAGAACTGGATCAAACCTTTACATCTGTTAAATTCATAAATCTTTCTGTCAGTTCGCTAAGGGTGTTTGACAAAGAATGCCATACATTCGTAGAAATGCTAAATGAGTTAGGACTGGATAATCAACACCAACAATATTGTATCGGAAAAATGATATCTACAGTATTGCCATCCGATCAACGTATACTACATATTTTGCTGTAGAAATAAAGAATGGACAAATCCCGAACTAATGAATATTTAAAATAACTATTTCTATAAATAATTAACAATTTTTGTATTTAAAATTATAACCATGTATAAGTGATTCAAGCAGTCAATTGTAGGTTACCTCAAGAAGTGAGATTTACAATAAATTGTACGTATCTATAAATGTTCTATTAATAAAGTTTTCATTATTATTATTATTATTATTATTATTATTTTCAACCAACCGAGAATAAAACAACGCTCTATTGTCATCACTCTTCTTGTCCTTAAAAACGCCTTTGGTGAAGTGCATCATCATCATCTCATTCAATCTGTCCTCGATTATCATCACATTCCCGAACAGATTAACGAAATTATCAAGAGCTTGTATACTGACTTCAACACCACAATTATAACTGCCGAATTCTCTACCCCATTCATAACTGTTGGCCGAGGTGTACTTCAAGGAGACTGTCTTAGTCCTTTACTTTTCAATACGTGTTTCAACACCTTTATTCAACACATTAAAGCTGATAAATACCGCCAATTTGGTTTCATGACCAAATTTTTAAATCCAATCCATTGGTTCCAGTTTGCTGACGATGCAGCCGTTATAAGCGGTCAAGAGAGCGAAAACCAGCACCTTTTAAATCGCTTCTCAATCTGGTGTCAATGGTCAAACGTGATTACTCGAGTCGACAAATGTAGTACATTTGGCATTAAGAAAAGTCTGACAAAATCAATCCAGTACCTACCAAGACTTCTCATTGACAATAAATTAATATCTGCCACTAAAATAGGAGAGTCTTTCCGATACTTAGGGAAATATTTTGATTTCAATATGTCCAACAAAGATTACAAACAAGAACTAATCACCCTCGTTGAAGATACCATGTCAGAAATTGACCTCAAACCGCTACACCCAAAGAACAAAATTTTACTCTATAGTCGTTATCTCCTATCGAAATTCTCCTGGCATTTTACTGTCGCTAATTTATCAAAAACGTGGGTTTCTGAAAACATGGACTCAGTAGTCAGAAAATTCGTACGGAAATGGCTTGAAATACCCGTATCCGGAACTTTAAGTAATGTCTTCATCACAAGTAATAAATTTGGACTAAATATATACCCTCCATCCGTCAAGTTCACTCAGTGCCAAACAGTCTCTCGTAAAGCCTTAAAAACCTCTCCAAATGATTGTATAAGAAATTTATGGAAATCAACTTGCGACAATACTAACATACAGTACGACGTCTACACCTCAACAAAGGAAGTTCTTAAAAGTTTCAAATCTGCACAAGAGAACAAGCTTCAAAATCATCTGCTTCTCCAAGGCTCCTTTTTCTCTAACATCACCAAGTTCTCGTTGTCTACACTAAACAACCTATGGTCCAAATCTCAATCCAGCTTGCCAAAAAAGCATCTATAACTTCACCATTCGTTACCGATCAACAACACTCTTGCCACACGCAAAAACCTTACAAAATGGGGAATAATGTCAAACTCGGATTGTTCCCTCTGCCTCAACCCTGAAAACTAGCTTCTGCACGTAGTCGCGGGATGCCTGCATGTCATACAGGTACCTTCCACGATTTACTTGGAGAAATGACTCCATTCTCAATTTTATCGCAAAAATACTCCAACCTGACCACAACTCCACACTATTTGTTGATCTTCCTGGATACAAGAGCCCCTCAATAATAACCGGTGACACTTATCGCCCAGATCTGCTTCTTTCGATTTCAAATGATTGTTTGTACATACTTGAACTCTCTGTCGGATATGAATCCAATCTCCAAAATAACGTTGCTCGCAAAAGGGAAAGATACAAGGATCTAATTACGGAGCAGAAAAACCATTTCGAAACAGTCAAATTTATTAATTTGTCTATTAGTGCCTTAGGTGTTTTCTCAAAAGAATGTAGCACGTTTATGAAAATGTTGAACGAAGTTGGTCTTGATAAAAAACATCAGAACTTTTGTGTAAAGAAAATAATGTCCATCGCCATCAGAACAACGTACTATATATTTTGTTGCAGAAACAAGGATTGGACCGATCTGGACTTGATGAACATTTAAGAATGAGCTTTCTCTTAGTTTTATACCTGTAATATAGTTTATTTTTATCAATAATTAATAGTTCAAGTAGTCAATTATAAATTACCTTAATTAGTGAGATTTATAATTGTATATACATAAAATGTCAAAATAAAGTTTCCATTATTATTATTATTATTATTATTATTATTATTATTATTATTATTATTATTATTATTATTATTATTATTATTATAAGAATATTCAGAATAAAAGAATAAAAACATTCAAGAATATTCAGTATGATATATATAAAAATACGAAGGATGTCTTGAAAGCCTTTGAAAATGAAAATGAACAGAGACTACAAAACCACCTTATCTCACAAGGTTCTTTCTTCTCAAGTATCATCAAAAACTCCACGTCATCATTCAATTCCTTATGGTCATCCGTTCAATCCAGACTTCCTAAGAATATATTTAATTTCACTGTCCGTTATATCAACAACTCCCTCCCAACTCGGAAAAACCTGGTCAAATGGGGTCTGTCATCGTCTGCCGATTGTTCCTTTTGCTCTTCTCCTGAGTCACTCCTGCACGTCATCTCTGGTTGTAAAACATATCTAGATGAAGGGCGATTTACGTGGCGGCATAATTCAGTCCTGAACTTCATTGCATCCAGCCTTATATGAGTGCCGAGCGATCCAAACTCTACGTAGATTTGCCTGGCTTTATTACACCGTCAGTTATCACTGGTGATCAGTTACGTTCAGACCTTCTCTTGGCAATTGAAAATAAAGTTTTATATGTTTTGGAACTGACTGTTGGCTTTGAAACAAATCTTAACTCTAACTCAGATCGAAAACATAAAAAAATACCTGTCGCTTATTTCAGATCAGGAAAGTAATTATGATAAGGTAAAATTTGTTAATGTATCCATAAGCTCGCTAGGCGTTTTTGGTCAATCGACGAACACCTTAACGGATATGCTCAAGGAACTGAAGTTCGATGAACAACAAATTAAATACATTAAAAAGAAAATCATTGCTATTTGTATTCGCACATCATATTATGTATTCTGTCAGCGAAACAAAGACTGGACTAGCCCAGAGTTTCTAAAATTTTGAACAATATTAAATTTCCTATTTTTGTAAATTTATATAATCCAAATGTTTTCAAGTAGTCATCGATAAACTATACCTTTATGAGCGAGGTTTATCAATGTAAATATAGTTATATGGTATATTATGAAATAAATAAAGTTTCCATTATTATTATAAAAAAAAAGTATTGGTCTTGACAAAAAGCACCAAATGTACTGCGTTAGGAAAATGATGACTATTGCTATTAGAACTACATATTATATTTTTTTGCTGCCGAAATAAGGAATGGGAAAATCCGGATTTACTAACAATTTGACTTATCTCATTGTATATATATATATATATATATTGCATGCACTTTGTTCTGTTATTTTAGTTTAGTATAATTGTGATTCAAATAGCCAACCCTAAGTTACCTTTATGAGAGAGATTTACGATTGTGTATGTATGTAAAGAAAAACATTTAATAAAGTTTCCATTATTATTATTATTATTATTATTATTATTATTAACGGCACGAGACGGGAGAAACAAGACCATAGCTTAACCCACATTAACCGGCTTACATACCAAGCTGAGGAGGTTTATAGTAAATCGAAAAAATCGAGTTTCAGGCTTTAATGAATTGTGGTTGGCAGAATAAAATTTCTGTCTATTTCAGTAGTGACGTCATATCACGATGGCGGACCGAACACGATATTTCCCTTGATAAAAAGTATTGCTGCATGTTACAATCCGCAATAATTTTCAAGTTTTCTTATGTATATTTTCCATTTCAATGTTTATGTACATTGTTACACTTTTGGGAGATGTACTATTGTCGTTACATTGTCCGTTCTAGAGGGGGCTTAGCCCAAACTTATACGTCACTGTAATTTGACTGTGCAGCAAGAATTGATGGAATGTATATTCATTCTGGGTGGTAAATGTTGCCCATAGTCATATAGAACTTAATATAGGGTTTAAATATTAATTTCGATGAACTAAAGATGGAGAGATATATGTTACAAATTTCAATAGCTACACATTACAGAGATGTTTGATATATTTAACAGTAAGAAAATGACAAAAAAATGCCGCCCGTTATCAATAAACAGAAATACAAGTTAGCGCAACTTAAACCATGCATACGTAAGTCGTAATATGCATGTATTGTAAACTGAAAAAGTGCATAGTGGGTTTCTTACAGTAGTTTTAGCCATTTTCATGCATATATTCACTCGATTGTTCGTTTTAATGTTCATAAAGGGACTCAAATTATGATCCCTTTATATCTATAAGGATATATGACCCCTTGCCCTTGGCTTGGCAACAAGAGAAACAAAACAGTGAGCTCAAAGTGAAAAGACCAGTGACCAAAGTCAATGCAGCATAAACATATACTGATATAGGTGCCATGCATAGTGGAGCATCATAAACGAATTAGTAATGCACTATTATAGGAACTGTAGACAAAGTAAAAGATATACGAAACCACTGCAGTCAGCAAGAATATTTGTCATAGTATATATGTCTATATTTTCAGCGGGGTGTAATTGTGTATATGAGTAAATGCTATGATTATTTCTCCGCGTTTATTTGTAGAATATTGATTATTGTTGAAATAGTTCAAACTTCAATAGATCTAAGATAACAGACTCTAGTTAACTTCGATTCCCCAAAAATGTATTAGTAAACACATTTTTTATGACAATGCCGATGAAAACAAAATTATGCATAACGCATGCCGGGGCTTTCCCGCTTATAATATGATTTGAGTCAAAATACGTTTGACCGCTACACGAAACAGAGTTCGACTTCTGGGTTTGGTGGTAAAAATTAATCAGAGGCAAGAAAATAAAAGTCGCCTTCCTATAAGCCATGTCTATAGTGGAAGTGAACGTTGCCAATCACGAGGTCGAGGGACAGGCTTTGAACCAAGTACAAGAGAATGAAGAAAACAATTGTCAAAATGATATCGTCACGAAATTACGAAGTCTTGTTTATTCAGATTTCATCGACATCATTTTGAAGGTAATTGCAAATTGCAATTAACTCTCCAATATTTTTATTTGTCATAACAATGAACATTTCATTTCATTGACAGTCTATTAATTTGTGTGAAGAAATTAAATAGAAACAGGAATATTAAACTTGAAAGTGCTGGCGGTTGCGCAGTGCTAACAAAATGAAAGTAAAATTAAATATAACGGTATAAAACACTACACTATAACGGTATAAAACACAAATCGTGTTCCACATGCAGCAAATCATGTGCTCATGTGGTATGCTAGCTAAACAAATTTCTTGTGTTGGATCTATACATGCCGGCTTGATCACTTTTAACCAAATGCTTTTAATTTAACCAAAGTTTGTTGTATAAATTAGATCGAAAAGGTGTTATAGTCTCACGTCATTTTGTCAAGCCCGGATGAGACGAGGATGAGAGCGCATGAGAGTTACCAGTAATGTGATCTTGGTTAGCTGTTCTTAATGCTCTCCCAATACCATGGATTTTATTTAAGTTAAAACATAGTTGAAACACTGCATGATCAAACCTTTATTTTGTTATTATTTAGCTCACTCCCCATCGGGGCTTTTCATGCAGTGACTACATGATTACATATAATTATAATTATAAGTTTATAACTATAAGTATTACGTTACTTATGCCCAGACTATTTATCTTTACAACAATTGTAACATTACATTTTCCTAACTATGTTTATCCTAACCCACCCTGTCAACTTTCCTTGGGGGGGGGGGGGACCAGAGCGCCCAGGCAAACCCACGACTTAAATCGGCAGAGCGTTGACATACTCTTTTCACAATCCGTAGCGAGAAACGAACTGCCGATCTCAGAGGCGAAAGACACTTGCTCTGACGACTGCGCCATCGAAGCCCCCAAGATCTTGAAATGTCCCTTGCATGCAGTAACAATTCTTGATTGACTGCAAACTCTCATTCTTGTTTGAGCGGCATAGCTTTACTGCAGAGAAGAGCATGTAGTACATTAATGTCTCAATAGCTAATTCTATAATAATATACATCCAACATTGTTCGGGAGGGGGGCGGATAATTGATAGGTTATTGTATGTATTCAACTTGCAGCTGCAAGTTGAATAGTAAAAAGGTCACAGAGGAATGTCTTAAAAGAGTGTCGCTCACGCTGATGGTTTTGACTAGGATTGCCTTTATAGGACCGATCTATATATATATGTCTTACCAAATTCTAGAACTGAAAACGAGTGACGTAATTTTCGCTCGAAGTTGTTGTGTTCAAGAACCATTTACAGTAGTTCAATTTTACATAAAAATATAAATAAATGTGATTATATTCAGTGTGTACAAGACGTTATCCCTGTGGTGTAAAGCACTAACTTAAGACTGACCAAGGATGGTCTGCATATAGTCTATTATCCCAAGACCAATTTCCATAACAACATGGTTAAAATTCACGTCTCTGCATGATATCAATTCTCTGCGGAATTTTCGATTTTTACTTTTATATAGAAAGGTCCAATTTGCATGCATGCAGAGTTCGAGACTTGGGATATCTATAGTGTACATGCATACACATCATATAACAGGCCTTGGTTAGGTACTTCTCAGGTACTGAGGTGCATGTCAGGCCTTATATAGCCTATATTCTTAGACATATCATTCTTAGACATATATATATTCTTAGACATATATTCTTAGATATTCTTAGACATATATATATTCTTAGACATATATAGATATTCTTAGACATGCATATATTCTTAGACAGGTATTCTTAGACAGGTATTCTTAGTTTATTATAACATTTATATAGATTATAATGATTTATTTTAGGTGTTGTTCGTCTTGCTCTCTATCCCTTGGCTCATTTCAGTTATCTTTTTCTCCATATTCGACACAAAATGCATCGTGTTTGAGCAAGCTTCAGTGATCAATTGCAGTCAAAATTTCTTTATCTCGAATCCCAGACGCTGGGTTTCTGCTTGGCTCTTCATGTCTATCATTTCTTCCTTGCTCCTTATCCTTATCATTCGCATGAATCACAAGAAGTTAAACTACCAACGCAAGAAAGCGAAAAAGATCTACAAAAAAGGATCGTTTTTTTCCTTGATTTTCCTACTCGTCGTTTCCTCAGTTTATTACATTGTTCGGATCTTTGGCATGCGATCTGAAACAACCAGCTTGTTCATATCAATCCTTGTCTTTCTATGGCCTCCCGTGACTGTTCTGCTTGTCTGTTGTTTAAACTATCTACCTCGTGTACGTTGGCAAAAGATAGATTTGCCACATTACTCTCTCGTATGGTGTAAGAGATGCCTCAACAACAACTCCAATTTTATCATCTACTGGCTTGCTCTTTCTATTTACTTGGTGGAAATAACATGCAAACTGACCGCCATCATGCTTGATGTGGCTCATGACGTCGCACCTCTTATCCAAAACAGGTTTCCAGACGAATCTGGGAAATACTGGGGAGGTATGGTTATAGTGATTGGTTTCAGAATGGCATTTCACGCACGCTTGCTTTCGTTCTTCTGGCAAAAGCTTTTCCATGGAGAGAAAGATCTGTTCTCGGAACCAAGTGCAAAACTGGTAGACGAACCACTCTCACAAGACGAAGTTGAAGCACAACCGGGAGAGAACGTTAGATTGGAGGAAATTATTTTTTCATAAAATAACAGACTGTGTTAGGTAGCAATGCACCAATTTTAGCGAACAATAGCTATCTATAATAACGTTATATATATATTATATAGCTTAGATGGAACTGCATGCAGAGACGTTTGGTCGAATGCATAAAACGTATATAAGCATTTTCTGTTTTTGTAGTCAGGTGGTAATTACCACTTCAGACATTTAGTGGCAAACTGGAAAATAAAAGGATAAAGTGAAAAGTAATAAGACAGTACTATAGAGAGGTTAAGATACCCCGGTTTCGGTGTACGTGTACGGGTAGCATGATTTTGGTTAGCAATATTTTCGTCGATGTCTGTACCTTTACTCGTAATTAAGGTGCACATTTTTCGCATTATATCATTGTCTATTGCAAAAAACCCAGAAAAAGTATGATTGAATTACAGACATCAGTAATACAAGATGACACTACTCGTACCCGTACACCGAAACCGGGGTATCTTAACCTCTCTACTATTTAAAAGACGCGTAGGAGTATTTTATCACATTTAAAATGCGAGTGCACAGCACGAGCATTTTAGATATGATAAAACACGACTATAAGTGTTTTGAATAGCTACAAACACGACTACAATAGATGCCGTCTCATTGGTATTCTTTATATGAAAAATAATAATTAGGATGGACTTTTATATAAAGAATATACTAATGAAGATGAGTTTTATCAGGTATAAAGCCTTTTCACGTGACATATTATGGTTGACATGATATGCCAATAAGCTTATTAATTATTAATCTTTAATAAGTGTTTGAAGTGAAATTCAACACTTGATTTTTGAAAAACAGACTTTTCCTTCGAAAGTTGAACCTTTTTCTATTCCATTTCTTTTCCAACCTTTCCAGATTGTTTCTAGTGACAATGAAGTTTCTTATATATTCGCTTGATGATTGAAAAGTAATTTTAGAAAACCAAGTGTTTAATGGATTGGTGCACTGGATTCGGTCTTATATATATATTCATGTATATTATTATTCTACTAATGAAACTTTGTAACTTTTGTAATTTTATACATTTTCTACTAAATTGTTGTTGGTGCATGCTATTAAATCTAAAATTGAATTGGACTGAAAATTGAAATTGAATTATCACCTGTCCATAATTAACACTTGTTATGGGTGCATGCATATATTGGCCGTTTTTATTGCAAAGTTGCTTTGCACTATCGCTATGAGAAAAATTCAATCCAGTGACCGATCAATGGATCGATCTATAGCTTAAACATCCCGGGGGGAGCTTGCAAATTAATTTTTATTACGTTTTCTAGAGCTTCACGACGTTCGGACAACTAATCGTTTATGGCTGTTTATAGATTACAAAAATCTATATTTATATTCATGATGGTACATGTTCTTACTTATTTTAATGTAGTGAGCTTTAACAGTCTGCCATGCAGCTATTTCATAGATTATGCAAATCAAAATAAATCTTTATCATTTGTCATATCAACTTTGCACTATCCTTGGGATCTCTGAGTTACACTATAGGGCCGCATTATCTGTCTGGACAAATTTGAGCAAGCATTTATAGCCCGTCTAGAAACTGAAGAGGATGATTTGATATCTGCAGGCAAGTTATTCCATAAAAATACAATTCAGTTAAAGTACAAGTTTCTGAAGAGAGACGTTTTACAGAGATTTGGATGAAAAAGGTTACCAGAACTGGAACGGGTGGAATGATGGAGAGGCTGGGTAATAAACTGAATAATGTCAAGTTCGTACTTCCCGGATTTGCGTTTGTTGAAGATGATATCTTTAATTTCATGCCAGTATGAAAGAGGGATTAGATTACGTTTTTTCAAGCGATCAACGTAGGATGATTCATAGTCCTGAAGAATAAACTAAGCAGCTGGACATTGAATACCCTGAAGACGAAGCAGATCAGCAGACGATCCTCACAACCAAACCATAAGTGAGAACAAACGAGTAACAAATATACTGTAGTAGGCGGTGAGCTTTAACGTCAGCAAGGTGGAAGAAGCCCAAGCATTCTATGGATTTAGCGACGATATTGATAATGTGTGGGGACCATTTCAAATTGGTTGCTAACAAGAATGCCCAAACCATTCTGAGTAGCGGAAAACTTTATCGGTTGTTGGTTAAGGAGGTATTCTTGTGGTGGCACTGAGGATTTCTTTCATGAAAATTGAAGAGCGACACATTTGTTGCTGTTAAATTTTAAATCCTACGTAGACGACCATTGATGGAGGAGATTTAAGTCCAACTGGAGGAAATCTCTGTCTCGTGGCTGAGAAATTTCTCGGTAGCATTTGCTGTCATCAGCAAACATTGAGACTATGCTATGGTTAGCCGCATTTGGAAGATCGTTTGCATAGGTCAAAAATAGAAGTGGACCAAGTACACTGCCTTGTGAAACCCCCGATGTCGCAGTGAGGAATGATGATGCGACTCCTTCGACCACCACTCGTTGACGCCTTTCATTCAGATAGTCCGAGAACCAACTCAACAATAAGCCTGAGACACCATGCTGTTCAAGTTTCAAAAGAAGATTGCATGCGATGTGACACTGAATGGCTTTTGAGAAGTCTAAATAAATCATGTCCGATTCCTTTCTGGAATCCAAGGCTTTGCCAACGTCATGGAAAACACCAAGAAGTTGAGTTATACAAGAGCCCCTTTTGCGGAAACCGAAACCATGTTGCAAATTATTCAGCGATGATTGAACAAACTCAGAAACGTGGATATTTACAACTTGTTCAAGGAGTTTAGATACTAGGGACGGCAGGGAAATCGGTCGGTAATTGCTGATTTCGTGTATATTGCCTTTCTTAGGAATAGGGAGAACATTAGCTTCCTTCCATTCCTGAGGAACTTATTGAATAAGAGACTTATTGAATAGCGCTGTCATAGACGGAGTAATCTCGTTTGAACATTCTTTTAACAATTTGCCAGATATCACGTCGGGACCGGTGGCTTTATCCGTGGAAAGAAATTTTTTTATCTGTCGAAACGGAAATAGACTCAAGATTATCCGAACTATAACTGGTGGAAGGAACACTGGGAGAAATTGGCTTAACGGGACGAAAAGCGGATGCAAAAAATTGTTAAATTAAGCAGCGGCTTTCCCTTCCGCGGTGGTGAATTGTTCGTTATTGTGGATCAAAGTGTCTGGTAAAGAAGAGCCGGAGGTCTTTGCTTTAAGCCCGTTCTCCACTACGCGAATTTATTCGCGCGACGCGAAGCGAAAACCGAAATCCGGCAACGTGATTGGTCGGCGAAAAAATTCGCGGCGAAAAAGTAGGATCGCTTCCTACTTTTTATCTATAATGACCAACTGTTTCAATGAAAATGACCAACTTTTTCGTCTTTGAGTTGTACAGTTTTACTTCCTTATTGGGGGTTAAACGACAGGCCGTAATCGGTAGGATATTGACGAACAACTGTATTGTACATCTAACGATGAAAGTTTAACTGTGTAAGTATCAAGAAATATACTCAGTATATTCATTTGAGCTGTAATTCTTTAATACTTTTTATATATCGTATACAAAGTGATCGTGGCTGCTTGTTAGATATGCAGTCCACAGTATACGCAGTTTACAGATTTCGAGTATGTACCTCTGCTTTTATATGGACAAGGGTATTTTATTGGCAACTATATAAAACACTCGTCGAGAATCCATATGTCACTACATCCGATACCCGAGTGGCGTATTTTACGTATGTCACGGTATATCGATAAATTCCCGCCTTTTTGTTGTTTTTTTTTTCAAAATGGGCCGCCTTTTTTGTTGTTTTTTTTTCAAAATGGGCGACGAGTTTGTGGACTTGAGCGAAGACGACATTTATTACTTTTGGGAACCAAAAGAAAACATTATTTGCTTGTAAGTACTTGTTGTTTCTCTGTTGTCAACTACAATCTACATTCAAAATGTCCATATAATAAATAGAACATTACACGGTAACTCAAAGATATGGATTTTAACTTCTCGTGGCAAGAACAATTGATATTGTTCTTACCAATCGAACATAAAATCCATATGTTCTCCCAACTGTGTAAATGTAATATCCGCTATCTACGCAATGCGAATTCGTCGATTTCTGACTGTCGCCCAACTATCAACTACTCTTTGAATGTCAATACTGTCAACAATGTCTCTCTCGCAATTGAGTAACATAAGTTGGTCTAATCTTGCTTGAGACATCATGCTTCCGATAGCATCTCAATAAATATTGAAAATTATGGAACTTACCCGTATGCATATTACAAAATCAATGCACTGAATCAATAATTCATGTAACGAACCATAGAATTATCGAAAAATTTGAGCCTTCAGCTCCAATGGTCAGTGGTCTGAAAATTGCTGTACTTCATTGCAGTATATACGTAATTGTAATCGGAGTTATCGATTTTTGTAAAGATTTGAAATTATATTACAGCTATCATCTGGCATTAGTATTTCCTCAATATATTTTGACTAAAAATATAATGTTTCCTTTAATATTTAAATAATTCCTTTGACCAAGAAACAAATTTGACCAACTTTTCAAAGTTTAGAATTATTGGGGGGGGGGGGCGTCGCACCCCCCCAAAGCCCCCCCAGTCGCCACGCCCCTGGCTTTAAATAATCTCCAGAAATCTCAAATCTTTCAAAGCTCGCCAACGTGGAAATATATTCACGCTTCTTAGTTCTTATTACGTTTTTGATGTTACGACGTAACTCGCGACATCGGTCCCAGAGTGAAGGAGAGTTCGTCGATTTTGCTCTTTTCCTCATCGTTTCGTTCTTCCCAGGTTGAAGATTTTGGCAAGATCTTGTAAGATCTTGCATGATCTTGGAAGATCATGGCAAGGTCTTGGCAAGACACTAATCTTGGCAAGATCTTGCCAAGATATTACCAATATCTTGCCAAGATTATTCAATCTTGCCATACTTGCCAA